GAGTTAGAAGGAATCTCACTAGTTGAGGATCGATCGGCCGCTTCGCTCGAGAGGGAGCAGGTAGAGTTGCCAGAACGCGACATCTTCGCGGCGGAGAATTGGGCGTCACCAACACCGCCAAAGGAGGCCAAAGTGGAAGTAGAACCGGAAGTGGTGAGAAATGGAGCATTGCTGCCGCGACCTTTTCCACGACGAGAACGCACCCGCAGCAGGCTGGGGCTCCATCCATCAGCCAAGGCAGCAGATATGGTGTGCAGATCTATCACTGAAAATAAAGAGACATTTGGTTCGGACAGCCAACGCGGATGGCTCAATTTAAAGGACCACATGGGTCCACACTAGTAATGACAAATATTTTGGACCAGTATTAAAAATTCTGATCTGAAAACTAAAAGGAAGTATAAACTATGAGTAAGATCTAATTTATGGTTGCAAGCGAAGTTGTTTTAGCCGAATCATCATGCAACTGGTGCCATTGTAGGCCACCGGTATTCGACGATAACCCATGTGGACTAGCACAAGTTTGTCGCGGATAAGACGCATGTTATGCTACAAGGAACGCTGATCAACGAAACTCATGAACACTTCCAAAATGCATGACGATATTGGTAACTGTGCAACACCGTGGTGGTGTTGAAGATCAACAAACTCCTCCAATGTCTAACTCATGCGGACAGTTTTCGCAGCCTGTATCAGACGGCCATAAATCCGTCTTATGGAGTAAGGCATAGTAGCAGTACAAAAATTGACTGGCGGGTAGATGTGTTGAAATAGGAGAGCAAAGCTTCGTAGTCCCTTAAAGCCAAAACACTCGTTAGACAATGAGTATGACGTCGACTTCGAACAAGCTCATCAAGCTTGTATTTGAGCACTTGTACGCTTTTTAGGGTACCCTGCACTTGAAGGGTTAAATACGACTTGTGCAGGAAACAGGGCGATGTTATGACGGGGCACTTCTTGGTTTCTTGGTTGATCTTTTGGCCCTAAAAGTACCTGTAAAACACTATTTCTCGGTTTTTTTCACTCCGTCCCTTTTCTGAGCAAGTTGACTGGAGTGCAAATTTGGAATTTCGACGTTTTTTTATCGATGACGGAAAGCAATTCGAAATTCGAAATGTAGGTAGAAAATAAAACGTGCTGCTTAAGCCATTTCAGTAAAAATTATATTTCCTTCAAATGCCAGGGTTATACCGACAGCGTCAAACACAAAGAGACGATAAACATCAACGTACCCGAGGACGCGTCTACCAGGACAGAAGGGCCAACCATCTCTTCGTTTTTTTGTATTGACTTTACTAACATGCGTTCACGGATGCCCCGGGGGGAAAGAGCACCAAGAAGCGACTGCAAGGTCTCCAGATCGTGAATGCGCCACCAACAGTTCGTGAACTCTTGAGGGGGAAGATGAGCAGAAACCTTAACGCCGGCATGATCTACGTCATCCTTAGTTGTTTGAGCTGGCTTCCTAGTGGTTAGTGGCTGCAACTGGACACCACGCTTCTCCAGTAACTCATCCACCTGGAGCAAGAGTTCAGCGTCACCGACATTCATAGGATCACTGTCGTAGAACCGAGACCCGTCTTCCGAGGGGTTCACTGCTCCATCACTCAACCAGTTTTTCAATTGACGCAAAGATGTAAGCAGGGAATCATCACCCTTTTGATCACCATTCGAGATTGCAGCCGACTTCATTTCATAGGCAACAGCACGAAGTATTTGAAGCTTGTAAAAGAGAACCACATGACAGGTCGGGTCATTCAGTGTGCAGGAACCACCCATTGAGGCGCGGTCTAACAAACCCGTTTGAGTAGCGAAGAGAAGCCCTGCTGTGGTAAGAAATGGCTCATCAAGGCCAGACTGCTCAAGTGCGAAAGTCAGATCCTGCTCAGTGAAGGAATTCCAAAGAATGTAGTCAGCAACATCTTTCGTAAAACTATTTGAGGAAGGAGTCGAAGTGCCGTTATCGGGCTCTGGTACGGCGCCATTTTGTATCTTTTTGTTTGAAAGGTCCAGCGGTTGACAGGATGATTGGAATGAGTCTTCCTCCTTAGTTCCCACGTCTTCAGGCTCCGGACTTACCTTGAAAACTGGAGCAAACTTCTCATTTTCACAAATCTCCTCGCACTTTGCAGGGCATATGGAAGTTGTGCGTACTGGCTCAAGATGGGACGAACTTAGGGTGGTATCAACTGTTGGGCTAGACTCGGGAGGTCCACCGCACTCAGGATTCTTTCCTTCATCTATATTATATGCTAGAGATGTATAATAGGCCTCTTCAGAGGAGACGGGGTCTTGATCTTTCACTTCGACATTGATTTCGAAAGAAAGAGTCTTGGAATTGTCGTCGGAGTCGACTTTCATCTCCTGGTGAGAAGCACTATCATCGTTACACGGTTCTGTCTGGGTAGCAACAACGTTGACCTCATCCTGTTTTGAGTTCAAAACATGTGGCTGGTTCGTAGGAGGCTCTGAATTATCCCTTCCTTCCGCAGAGGCTGGGGAAAGAACGTCTCCCAAAGACGCACTCATAGGCTCTGGCTTGATAGGTACAGTTGTGACTGTGTCCTTGCGAGAACACCTGAAAGACGAAGAGGAGGCAGAGGAAACGCCAGCGGTACCAGAAAAGTTATAGTGCCTTTTGACAGCCAGTTTTCGGCTGGCCTTGATCTCAGCCACAATGAGGTCGGGATCAAAGAGTGTTCCCGAACCTTCCGCTCGCAGTCCCAGGCTCTCAGGCGAATTGAAGACGCTGGATATGTCCTGACCCTCAACGAATATGCCGCCGACGGAACCAAGAACGAAGTAATTGCGGAAGTATCGATCCTGACCGAGATAAATGCCCGAGAGGCGATAGCTACACTCGTCTATAGCAAGCTGCTTCGCCTCAAGAACTTGGTTGAGGGTCTCGAGACGTTTCTCCAGTTCCTCGGCAGTGTCCACATCCTCTTCATCACCCGAGTTATAGGTTGCCGCGATGGCAGCTGCCGAAACGGCTGCAGAGGCATTTGGTGAGGCTGCGAAGCAGGGGGCTGCCAGAATAGCTGTTTGCCGAATGTGTGCATTTGAAAATTTGGAACAAGGCTCAGAACCGTTGGTCGTCTTCTGAAGGAGGGGGCACATTTTTGGTTCGGTATCATCGATGTATCTCTTGTTCACGGTATGATTGTAATCCAGGCGTTTGACTTTGGCATCAATAGATTCAGCGGGTAAAGGGGCACAGTGGTTGGATTTAGAAGATTCCTCCAAGTTTAATCGCTGTGGGTCGGTGTTGTGTTGTGACCCACTATATAACTGTGTCATATTCATGTCAGTGCCGAATTTCCGGGCCAAAAGAATGCGAATCCTAGACCGAAAGAAATGAAGACGTGAAATAACTGACGCGACGCTGTATGCATGGAGTATTTGGGCAGAAAATATGCACTTCTTACCGTCTTATTTTATTTTCGAGGTTAAACTTTTCCCTCCGGAGGGATGCCTGAAGGTCGATCGTCCGGTCTATTTCCGTGGATATAAGGCGACTGGAACACACTAATTCATCGCAAACGAAGGCCAGTAAGGCGGCAAGTTTCTCACCAGACAGCTCTGAAAGGTGACTAACGTTTGTAGGTGCCAGCCAGTCAGACATTTCATCCTCGTAGCCCCTTCGACCAATTAGGAAAACGCGGAGTAGCCCCGTTACAGTTGAGGAACTAACTTCCATCTCGCTGAAACGTTGGCCTAACAGTTGCGTAACCTAAGTTGTAGTAGAAAATATTGTAAGGGTGGGAAAAAGAGTATACCGAAGAGGAAAATCTTCGGTGAAACTTACGATACGAGGACTGGGTATGCCTGGATCCAAGATGGCGAACTTTAGCAATTCCACAATAACATGCGTAACCGCATCCAGACAACTTCTGTTGCGATCGACGAGGGCGGACTGCAAAGTCCCGAGCGATGGAATTGTCTCTGAATCTAAACATGATAACAGAACCGTGACACTTTATCATAAAATGTCAGCTTACTGTAGCCAATACATGTAACTAACTAGTAAAGGCGACCTCAATTCGTTATTTATATTTGATTGTATGTACATTGTAACCGAAATAGATAGCTTATAGGTAATGATAGTTCCATGTGAAGATTCAAAAAAACGGATGGGCCGGTCTTTTGCAAAACAAACGTGACACCTTGAGTTATATGTCCTTCGACTGATAATGCACAGTTTTTGTTTTCGCACACACTAAAATCTACCTAAAAACTAAATTTTATAGACAAATTACGTCCGCTTCCAAACGCTTGTGGGTATTTCTGACGTAGTTCGTCTGCCAAAACTGCGTACAACTGCGTCCCTAGGAACTAGATAGCAGGTTTGCTTGTGAAAAATTGAATAGAACATGACTGGCGTCTGAAGGACGCAGCTTCCCAGTTTGCTCGCGATAGTAGAGACCTAGGTTGAGTATGTAGGTCACGCATGTTTCTTTGACAGCACAAATCCTCAATAGATGTTATTTAAATTCCTGTTTAATGGCAAACTGGCCTCGAATTTGACCATGGCGAGACATAATGAAACGAGTTCTTCTTTGAAGACCTACCAATGCAAAGGACCTCTGTGAAAACGTGCAGGAATTCCACAGTGAGAAGGCAGTCTGCAAACATTTTACTTGACATTTTGTTTTCCTTAATTGGGTCAAAGATTGGCAGAGGCTGTTTGGTAAAAGAAAGAAAAATGTAAAATAAAATTGAAATCGAAGGAATGTATATGAACAGTAGCCTCTCGGTGGAGTTACCGTCACGTGGAGCATAAAGGTGAACTAACATGACCTCTAAGCAATAGACGTGAGAGCTAAACTGGGGTTTTATGTTATTGCTAGAAATTATGCTAGCATAGATGCAAGCAGTCGGCCTAGTAAGTGACCTCAAAGGTGCTGTGACATCGGATAATTATCACCGTGTGCTCTGCTTGCAGTGAATCAACTGTCCGTATGAGCTACAGAGCGAGGGGAGTCCTGTAGACATAGCTACTGCTCTATAATTAGCGGCAGAGAGTCATGCCCAATGAATCTGTGCAAGGGCTGCCCTGTTGGTCTGACTTATTTCAAAACATTTCTGTAAGTTCCTCAATATGTCTTTGTGTTACCCTTTTGGTCGCCTTAGCTCACAACACTGGCAGAAGAATTGATCTGGTAGGCACCCATCATTCCTCCTCGCGACACAGCCACATCACCTAATTTGAACCTGTCTCAAGTGAACACCCTGTTGCTTCCAGCACCTGCCTTGTCCAGAATCTGTTCCTGCTAATTCAATTTAACAGTTTCCGGAGATAGATAAGCGTGTTAAGTGGGCGGGGCGTTCCTAGCGCCGCGTCCTGTTTGAGCGACCATACATGTCATGCTTGTGGATTTTTCGGGTTTCAGAGCCATGGGGATGCGTGGTCAATAATGTCTTCGATTCGGTCTTGAAAATAATGGTTTAGCGACTATGTACGGCGTATAAAAGTCCCAGAAGGGTCTTGCACACTTTGTTGTTACCGGCTGCATGTTCGGTGTTGTTACTTGTGCAGGCTTTGCTAAAATGATTCTGTTCGGTTTCGTAGTCATTTAACCATTCCTAGTACTGTCAGTGTGCAGGTTAAAGAACCTTCTTTAAAATAAGGCAGGTTGCCTCGCTTGTTTCTCCAACATTTTGTCCTAGAATTGACGCATGCTACCTAGAGGCCTTCGCGACGCCGTCTCTGTACCTTACCGCCCCCACTTTATGTTGTCGTTCGTCTTTCTGTATTCCTGGTCTCCCCGCCTCCCCGCCTCCCCCAGGGGGCACTTGTAAGTACTGCCAATGCAGTTTTTAGATCACGTAAAGTCAACTAAGTGTGTCTCAACGCGTGTCCAGCCTTTGCTGGACCAGTTTCGTAGGGCGGTTGGAAAAGGTCATAGTATTAAACATCCACAGAACGAAATCGGGGCAGAAAGTAGGAAATTGACCTAGCTGCGGATCAGATATTTTAAGTGCTGCCTGTGGCCGTGAAATCATCCATTTCGAAATCAAAACGCCACCCTATATTAATTTGAATTGGATGTATGTTCAATGCCGCAATTAATTTAACTTGTTTATTTGACAAACTAACTTAAGACTTCGTTTCGTGTTTAGGGAAGTTTTGCGCCAACTACAGATGGCTATTCAACGAGAACAGGAAGCCGGCAGATGTACCATTGGTAGCGCACCTTATATGCGCTTAGCCCCAGGCTTGTGTCTTACGGTTAGGGTTAGTAATAGGGTTATGTATAACGACATAAGTAGGTATTTATATATAGCAAACTTCATAATCGCGATTAGCCTTTTCTTGTCGTTCCAACGAAACAATTACTCTATAGTAGCGTCACAGCCTTTCCCTTTAGGTAAGTACACTTGAGTTGTCATTCACTATCTTTCCACAATTTCGATTAGCCTATTGCCTACTTTCCCACATAGTTCTCGTAAGCCACAGGACAGGGGCTAAGCGTATATAAATTGCGCTACCAATGATACCTATGTTCAGGGAGCCCCCCACCGAACGTTTGTGGACATCCTAGAAGGCAAGTAAATATTGAGAAAGGAAACCTGGCCCGGCCAAACATCCACCAAGTTGACACCAACAACATTTCACTCAAACTGTGTCGCCGTCTGAGAGGCAGAAACTGAAGCTTTTAAAACTCAAGGCAATAACCGCTAGATTATATATATGCGTGAACCTTCTTAGATGACCAAAACGGTGTGTCAGACCGAAACCGGAAAAACCTTTTTATACACTGACAGAAAAACAGTGTCACGCAGAATGGGCCGTTTGTCAGAGTGCGCAAGTGTCCTCGGTAAAAAAAGGCAATGACAAGTGTCGGCTTGTATGGCAGGTACAACTTTGCTCTTTGCTCCCCGCTACCGAAACCGTAATCGGTGTCAGTACTCCACAGAAGAAAACATCCTGAGAAAATTTCCCAAAAATTATCATGAATGAGGTGAAAATTCGACTCGACAGGAGACGACTAAAAATGAACTACACTGTAAAGGAGAAGACGCGATCTCCGGAACAGCAATTCTATTGAATGAATGCAGGTGTTTCACCGATCTAGTCAAGGAACAATTAAGTTC